AAAATAATCATCAAAAGAATTTTCAATCTTATCAAGTTGTTTGCCAATGGTTTTTAAACATTGATTTGTATAATTATTTTGTTCAATAACTTTTTTGACTTCAGATGATTCATCACCAGGAAGTTTGAATAGAGAAGCCGGGACAACAGATCCTTTATGTTCAATAAGAAGTTTCTCTAAAGGAGGATGGCTAACTGAAACGATAGTATTGGCAGAAGTCTTCCATTTAGTTTTTGTAATTACATTTAGATTTTGATAATAATTTTCTAAATAATCAAAGAAAGTAATTTCAGTATTGATTTCAAGCATAAATTTATACCATTTCTTAGTAATCTTTGATTGTTGAGTTGAATCATATTGTTTGTAATATTCATGGCGTTTTGATTTATTTTCTTTAGATTTGTATTCAGCATGAAGCCTATTAAGATTTGGACTAAAATGTTTACTAATAGTCATTAATTGGGGATTAATAGGAGGAACAACTTCGAAATCTGTTTGAGTAGGTGAATCTTGAGAAACAGTATCTTCATCTTGGAGATGAGTGCAGGTAGAGTAAACGGGTTTACTAATTTGAGAGGTAGAGGAATTATCTATTCCTTTCATTTTATTATGATGAGATTGGGAGGTGGATTCATTAAGGTGAAGTCTTCTGTCTTTTCTAGTGAATAAAGGGGTATTTAAAATTTCATCATCATCAGTTTCTGTAGGTAAACTAGATGTACTATGTCTAGTAGATTAACTGTAAGCTCTATTAAATCTAATATGGGCAGATTTATCAGTAAATTGTTGAATATGTTGAATATCTTGACTATCAGAAGATTGTTGATTTTGGGAATAATTTTCATTGACAGTAACCCAATCATCAGAACGATTGATGTCTTTCCATTGAATCATTTTTGGAACAGTAATATTGGTTGCAGTGGTACCGCCTTGAATTAATAAAGTTTTATCCTTTGGACTTTTGGTTAAAGCTTGAACATTTAAATTCGTTTTAATACATTTATAATAGATTATGTAAATTAAAACAATGTTATGTATACTTTCTAACATATTAGTAAATTCTCCAAATAGTTGAATATTCAATGTTAAAGCTTTTAATATGTAAGGATCACGTAAACTTAATGTAAAATCAGGAAAACAATTAAAATGGGCAGGACCTTTATGGAGGCCAGATTCCATCATACCCATTACACTTGCATTATAATTAATAAATCGAGCATCACTTAAACATAATAAAATATAAGTATTTTTACCTTGTTGCGTTAATGGATTTATTCCTACTTGGATTAATCCTAAATGAATAAAATTATGACCAACTTTGAGATGTTTTCGGATAGCATCTTTAGTTAATAATTGACAAGTTTCTCGTGGTTTACTTAAAGCATAAACTTATTCAACGGTTTTGACTTGTAAATCAACATCAAAAGTAGACTGTAAAAAACTAGTTTTATAAATTTCTTTAGTTTTTACTTTAGGGATATTCCAACCTAAATCAATTTTAACATCTTGATATTCATATTCTTCTTCATTTAATACCAACTCTGAACTAGGTATAGGAGCAAGAGTTGTAGATCTGGAGCTAACCGAAGAATTACTTCTGAATAATCGACTCATTATGATTTGTTAAAATTAAATCCAATTCCAAAATTCAAATATAACTTATCGTGTTTCCTCATACGGTGTGTTCACTTATACCCTTTCCGGGAACCCCTACATCCTACAACTGCCTAATCCTAAGGACTTACTCTGGATTTGGACGAAAGGTGGGTGGTTACTAACAAAGTGGAAAACAACAGATAAGTTAAGCAAAAATAAGGAAACTGGAATTTAATTGAAAAAAATCAATTGGGAAGGTTAAGCAGAGATAATAATTCAACAATAAGCACTTAATAACAACTTGGCTCTGATACCAAAATGAGGCGAAAGTAAGAGGAACGGAAAGAGGAAACAACACTAAGCATTTTATAATAAAACGTAAGATAAAACTTACAACTTAACAAAAAACATAAAATAAGACAAACATAAATTAAAACTTACTAAAACATTATGTTAGAAAATGTTACGTACACTTTCTAATTATATATATATATACATACATTAATTTTTTATAGAAATTATATTGTTTAAATTAATTTAGGTTTTTATTTTGGATTGTAATTTTAGAGAGAGAAGAAGGAAGATCCATGGCATACCTTTGCAAATTTAAAGATGTTCAAGGGGTATTTTGGTCTTAAAATGTAACTTACTCTTTGTATGGGCGTTTGAACTACACGGCCTGTTAACTTGGATGGAAAAGTGAACGGTGCGTTTTAGTCTACCAATCACAGGGGAGTTATGTGGTGATTTTCGAATGTCAGGGGGATAATCTGCATCCGGCCCAAATCATGGGGGGATAAAATGAAGTTTGCCCCCCCTTTTTTTTTTTAATATATATATGAGTGTGAGTTTCATATCCATGTGAGTTTTTAATAAAATTTTTAGAGTAAATTATCAATAAATCTTAATAATTGAACTTAATTTCTATCAAGTTCTATTGAAAAAAAGCCTTAATAAAATTATTGCTAAAAATAATTTTTTTGATAATTTTTTATATATTAAATTGTCGCTAAAATTTACAATTAGTGACATTTTTATGTGACGAATTTTTTAAACTGTTATTGAAAGTTAAAAATTAGTAGTTTTTTTGTGATATTTTTTAAAATTGTTGCTAAAATTTATAATTAGCAACATTTTTTGTGATAAAATTTTTAAATTATCGTTGAAAATTAATAATTAGTGACTTTTTAATAATGTTTTATAAAAAATGCCATTAATTTATTATAGGATCTACTAGATAATAAGTCCACCTATTACAGCATACACATAAGTCTCCCAATTTTTTAATAAAAATTTTAGTGTCACTAGCATTGTTGATCTTGGAATGGGCTCTCACGTCGTTTGGCAAAAAAAAAATTAGTTGAGTTTTTTTGTATCGAAACGTTTTTAACTTGGGATTAAAAAATTCTTTTAGGTTGACTTTTTGATTTTTATGAGAGAAAAAATATAATGATTATGATTTTAATGTGACATTTTATTTTATTAATTTATTTAATCTATTTTATTTTATTTTATTTTTGTACTTTTTAGTTCCAACTAACTTATTTAGGCTTCGTTTGGAAAGTGGGTTGATTTTTTGACTTTTTTGGCTATTTTAGCATGTGGCTAAAAAGCCTGGTTTGAGAAAGACTTTTGATTTTTTTGTGAGAGAAAGAACGTAATGATTATGGGTTGGATGTGATATTTTGTCTTATTGAGCTAAAAAGCTTATTTTGTTTTTTGTGACTATTTTAGTCAAAAAAGCCACAAAACCTTCTTCCCAAACACAGGCTTAGCCTTGGCCAAAGAACACTTTGTGGTCCTGTTTGTTTCAATAGATGGAAGGGATATTGGGATTGAGATGGAGGTGAGACTCACTAATGTTGTGTTTGTTTTGGAAGATAGAGAAGGGATTGAGATGGAGGTCCGAATTAGGTAGGGCCTTAGAAGGGAGATTGGGATGGAAGATGTGGAGGTAGTATTAGAAAAATAGTCCACTGGACTATTTTTTTTTTAAACATTAATGTTTAATTTTTTATATTTTTGTTAAGTAAAAATCATTGTTTTATTTTTTTTTATTTTTTACATGTTGGGCTTTTTTTTTGAACATTAATGTTTAATATTTTTGTATTTTTTATTTGTTTTATTATTTTATATAAAAATAATTTAACAATTCATACACCAACAATTATCATCAAAACAAATATAATTTTACTTAATCCTCTCACTAACAATCCCCTCCCCTTCATTTTACCTTTAAAAACAAAGGGCATGTACTCTATTTGGTTGGGTTTAACAATTATTTTTTAATAGTTTTATTTATTTATTTAGGATAAAATTAGAGGAAATAGTAATTGAGTGTAAAATTAAAAAAAATTACACATCAATAATAAATGTTATAAATATTAATAATTAAAATTTTAAATTTTTTTATATTATTTGTAAATATTTTTTAACGACAGTGTGTAGGTATGTAGGTATTTTTGGTCGCGTTTGAAATGTTGCATATATCTCATATGAAAATCTCACATCATCGGAGATATATGTGTGCATGGTGATTGTGTTAAATTTCCCTACCGACAGTGTGTAGGTATGTAGGTATTTTTGGTCGCGTTTGAAATGTTGCATATATCTCATATGAAAATCTCACATCATCGGAGATATATGTGTGCATGGTGATTGTGTTAAATTTCCCTACCGACAGTGTGTAGGTATGTAGGTATTTTTGGTCGCGTTTGAAATGTTGCATATATCTCATATGAAAATCTCACATCATCGGAGATATATGTGTGCATGGTGATTGTGTTAAATTTCCCTACCGACAGTGTGTAGGTATGTAGGTATTTTTGGTCGCGTTTGAAATGTTGCATATATCTCATATGAAAATCTCACATCATCGGAGATATATGTGTGCATGGTGATTGTGTTAAATTTCCCTACCGACAGTGTGTAGGTATGTAGGTATTTTTGGTCGCGTTTGAAATGTTGCATATATCTCATATGAAAATCTCACATCATCGGAGATATATGTGTGCATGGTGATTGTGTTAAATTTCCCTACCGACAGTGTGTAGGTATGTAGGTATTTTTGGTCGCGTTTGAAATGTTGGTTTTAGGGGTAAAAGGTTCAAAATAATCACATAAAAATAAAATAAATTAAAAAATTAATAAAATAAAATGTAACATTTAAATGATAATTATTTTATTTTTTACAAAAATTAAAAACTTAACTAAAGGAGATTTTTAACTCAAATTAAAATAATTTAAAAAATCAAAAAATAAAAAATCCAACCTTCGTCCCAAATGAAACCTTTATTTTAATTCTACTCCTAAAAAATTTAAAAAAAAATGTCATGAGCAGCATCATCATTCTCACACGTTGCGAAAACTCCCAAACCCACCTATATAACAGCATTAGCTACTCTCTCACACGTTACTCACCTCAGTCTCTCTCTCTCTCTCTCTCTCTCTCTCTGCAACACAACCGAAAAGCCTCTCAACTACCTTCAATGGCGGAACAACCACCACCACACATAGTCATTCTTCCGACTCCCGGAATGGGTCACCTCATCCCACTGGCCGAGTTCGCCAAGCGACTCGTCCTCCACCACCACTTCTCCGCCACTTTCCTCATCCCCACCGACGGTCCTCTCTCCTCCACCCAAAAGTCCTTCCTCGAAGCCCTTATTCCCTCCGGCATTTCCCACCTCCTTCTCCCTCCTATCAACCTCTCCGACTTACCCGACCACGTCCATATCGAGACCCGAATCTCCCTCACCGTCACCCGCTCTCTCCCCTCTCTCCGCCAAGCTTTGCAATCCATGCTTTCCACTACCCGATTAGCCGCCTTCGTCGTCGATCTTTTCGGCACCGATGCTTTCGATTTAGCCTTTGAATTCAATGTCTCTCCATTCATCTTCTTCCCATCAACTGCCATGGCTCTCTCTGTGTTTCTTCACCTGCCAATTCTTGACGGGTCAGTTTCTTGCGAGTACAGGGACCTGCCCGACCCGATTCAAATTCCGGGTTGTATTCCAATCCATGGGAAGGATCTGTTGGACCCGGTTCAGGACCGCACCAACGATTCCTACAAATGGGTTCTTCATCATGCAAAACGGTACCGTTTGGCTGAGGGTGTGATGGTTAATAGCTTCATGGAGTTGGAACCTGGAGCCATTACAGCTTTGCAAGTGGAAGAACCCGGGAAACCGCCTGTTTACCCGGTTGGGCCGCTCATACAGTTGAGTTCGGATAGACCCGTTGAGGATGGGTCGGGTTGTTTGAAGTGGTTGGATGATCAGCCACGTGGCTCTGTCTTGTTCATCTCGTTTGGGAGTGGTGGGACCCTCTCATATGATCAGCTCATTGAGCTTGCTTTCGGATTGGAAATGAGTGAACGGAGCTTCTTGTGGGTTGTTAGAAGCCCAAATGATAAAATTGCCAATGCGTCATTCTTTAGTGCCAATAGCCAAAATGACCCTTTTGCTTTCTTGCCAAAGGGGTTCATAGATAGGACCAAAGGGTTTGGGTTAGTGGTGCCATCTTGGGCACCACAAGCTCAAATTTTGAGTCATGGCTCGACTGGGGGATTCTTGACCCACTGCGGTTGGAACTCCACTTTAGAGAGTGTGGTTCATGGTGTTCCGCTAATTGCTTGGCCACTCTACGCAGAGCAAAAAATGAATGCTGTGATGTTAACGAAAGATATAAAAGTGGCATTGAGGCCAAGAGTTGGTGAGAATGGCTTAATTGATCGACTTGAGATTGCAAAAGTTGTAAAGGGTTTAATGGAAGGAGAAGAAGGGAAGCATGCTTGTAGCCGAATGTCCGACTTAAAGGATGCTGCTGCAAAGGCAATAAGTGACGATGGGACTTCCACAAAGTTGCTCGCCAAGTTGGCTCAAAAATGGAAGAGCAAGATTAGTAATTAGATTAGCAATAATTTATTTAATATTTTCAAAATATCGTGACGTGTGAATATGAAGCTATTAATTAATAAGGCCACACAAAAGAAGATGGATATGATTGACCTTATCTCCCATCCAATCAATTAAAATGGGTTAGGTTAGCTCTGCTTATCTTATTGCTATTGCTATTGCTATAATTGTTTCTGAAACACCGCAACAACCTATTGTGTTGTTAAATAATTACTACTTAAACGTAAGTTATTTATATTTTTTTAAATGCACATAATGTACTATTCAGACCTACGATTGGACGGCATAGGATTCTCTTTGCCAAATATGTTTGTCCCCTTCATAGTTGTCATTCAATAACTGTAGATAAAAAATTTGAGAATAGAAAATTCCGAATTTCACAAAATACCATGTCAGCCTTCATTATGATAAAATATGAGTTAACAATATGTCTACTTGTAAAAATTCTCTGGTTTTTTAACATTTCTAATAGTTTAATGTTAATCTTCCTCCCGAAAATTGTCTTTTGCTCTTGTCATATGGCTCCATATACACTAGTACTTTTTGTTTTGATTTGTGGCCATGAACGAAGTTGAAGTTGCAATAATGCAGTGGGCATTGTAAAAAGTTTTTTATTTTTTATTTTTTGGCTCTATGATTGTGAAGTGAAGTAGGTGACATGGGTGACATGGACACCAGCCAATGGGCTAGAGTGGGGTGGACCCAACCCACTCAGATGTTTTGTTGGCTTGCAGAAAAGTGATTGCAAACAGGCATGAAGGAGTTTGCCTTGTTTGGATCACTAGAAATGAGATAAATGTGGGGATTGTTAAAGTCATTTTTTAAATTTATTCAACAGTGAAGACATTTAGGGAGAAAATAAAAAAATTAAATTAATTAAATATTTAAATCATATTTATTTTTAAAATAATATACAACAAAAGATAATTAAACATCTCAATTAACGAAAAAGAGAACTATAAAAGATCAAAGATAATGTTGGAATATGCTCCTGTCTCTATTGGTTGGGTTTTGCAATTGTTTTATTTATTTATTTAAATTATATCTATACCTATATCTATATCTATATATAAAAGAATTGCTTAACTGTTTAAAATTTGTCCTTTTTTTTTATTTTACTTTTTTATTTTGAATAATTTATTAATGGTGGTCTATATGTTGAGTGAATATTTTTTCGTAACTGTGCAAACATTCTTGGTCAATTATGTAATAAGTTTTTTCGTAATTACGTGAACATTCTTGGTTAATTATGAAACAAGTTTTTTTTCATAATTATGCAAACTTCTTAGTCAATTATGTAATAGGCTTTTTCGTAATTATGTAAACATTCTTAGTCAATTATGAAACATATTTTTTTTCATAATTACGCAAATATTCTTAGTCAATTATGAAATATAAATTTTTTTATTGTTTAACAAATTACAAATACACTCCAATTTTTTTTAAAAAAATATGAATCGGTTCTATAATACTAGAAATTACAACTATACTTTGTTATAAATTTTAATTTAACACAATAACCAAGAAAAAAAAACTATTCTCCTATGCAATAATAAATTATCAAAATTGTTTATTGAAAAATATTTATCATATTATTAAAAACTGTTAATTGACTTAATGATTTATTTATTAACAAAATAGTTAACTGAAAATTATTTTTCATATCATCAAAAATTGTTAATTTACTTAATAATTTATTATTAATAAAATTGATCATTTGTTATGCGAGTATGATTTACGTATTAATAAAATTAGTCATTTGTATATAATGTATTTTCTCCTGCTTTTTTATTAGTTCAGTGAATTGTCTTAGTAGTTTTTTTTAGATGAAAAAATTATCTTATCATTTATTTTATATTTATCTGTTGAGAAAAGTTACACACCATAAATTCTTTTTAAAATAAATTTGGAAGAAATGTTAAAGACTGATAAATTCACCCAAAACAAAATGATATGGTAATAGAATTTGAGTCTACATCATTGAATGTATAACAAATCAAAAAATGATACATATCATATCACATAATTCTATCATATATCTAATAATTTATTCTATTCAATTTCATGGAATAATATTTTAATTTTTTTTAAATTATCAAAATAAAAAACTTAAATATACTGTAAGAATAGTATGTGCCTTGCACATGCCTTTTTAAACTAGTGTATAGAAAAGAAGCTGTTACTCAAAAGACAACCTAAGAGTGGGGGTGGACTAGGTTTTTATAAGTAAAATTAATAATACCCTAATAAAAATTATGACTACCACAATAGATAAATATAATTAATGAAATAAAAATAATTAAAACAAGTGTCTTAACAACTATGTCAGTTAATGATTTTAGCACAGTAAAAATGTGAAATATAGCTATGACAATTTAAAATAAAATAAAGAGATAATGGAGTGAGAGGCAAACAAATTTATAGTAGTTCGGTTTCAACTCGGCCTACGTCTACTCCTCAAGCTTCACCTGAGATTTTCCATTATACTTTAGCTTCACAGGGTGCTAGCAACCGTTTCACAGATGGAGCAATCCTCTACAAATTTTACACTGACTTTCTAAGTCCAGAACACTGAGTGTAATACACTCTTATAAGGTTGAAAAGAATGTATTTTTGCTTTCACAGAAAGTTACAAGAATTATCTCTCAAAGATAGATATATAAAATAAAGATGGGCTTAAAGCTATACGACTTAATGTATAATTTCTGAGAGAAGATGTAAACAAAAATTGAAGAACACTTCTCCGAGAATTTTTTAGAGAATAGATATAAGTGATTATAGATCAAAGAATGTTTTATGATTTTTTTTGTTAACTTGTTTACATTAGAGGCTTTGGTATATATAATGAAACTTATAGCCGTTTATAGCCGTTGTGTTCATTTGAATTTATAGCCGTTTATAACCGTTGTACTTCCATCATTACTAATTTGAATATCTTTCACTCCATCATTACAAATTTGAATATCTTCCACTTGAACCTTTTGGCTTGCTTCTGTGCTAGGCTGTTTGAACCTTGTTTTGGGCTGTTTGAATTCCTGATTTAACCAAATATTAAATACATTCTAACAACATTGAGGATAAATGTTTAGGTGAAAAATAATGGGACAAAATAAATTTTGATTCTATTTTTCTCTTTCAAATAAATCATAAAAATAAATTTTGATTCTATTTTTCTCTTCCAAATAAATTAAAATATAATTAAATAAATTATCAAAATAAATTTTAAATTCTATTTTTCTCTTTTAAATAAATTAAAATATAATTAAATAAATTATCAAAATAATAAGTCTAACAGAAGCGCTTACTTGTACTTTTGTTTTTCGATTTTACCCATTGATTTGGAATTATTTATTATTAAAGACTTACATTTTAGCTTTTCTATTTTGTCTTTTTATTTTATATTATTTATCAATATTATTAGTTACTAATTTGGATGGAGGTTTTTTTTGTAATTATGCAAAAATTCTTGATAAGTTGTGAAACATAAATATTTTAATTTCCAATAAATTACAAATACACCCGTGACATTTTTTCCTGCCTATTTTGCCCTTTCATTGTATAATTCACTAATAGTAACCTGTAATTTGACTTTCCCATTTTACCTTCTTCTTTAATAATATTTACCAATATTAGTGGTACTAGTTTGAGTGAAGGGTTTTGCATAATAATGCAAAGATTTTTAGTTTGTGACACATAAATATTTTAGTTATGAGTAAATTACAAATACACCATTGAAGTTTGTTAAAAATATGAAATGTCTCTACAATACTAGTAATTACAACTATTTCTTATTACAATTTTTAATTTAACAGAATAAATAGAAAAAATAATAATTTGAATAAAATGAAAAATTTTATTAAAACAAATGAAAATTCATCTAAAAATAATTTTAAAAAAATCAAACCAAACAAAATAATTGGTTATGAAATTTGTATTTTGGAAATATAAATTTCTCATAAGAATAGCCCGTAAGTAGCACAAGTCTAAAAATATTTTTTCACAAATGAAGCTAAATCAAAATTTAACGGTAATACCATATGATTGTTGGCTTGTAATATTACCATTCGATTATTCCATCCTAATAAAAAATAATTCACTCATTTGAACTAAAATTTTATCTCATCTATTTATTCTATAATTGTACTTTATAATAGAAATTAGAATTTCTATCATATATGTAATCATTGATTCTATTCAATTTTGTAAAACACTAATCTTATTTTTGGAGAAAAAGTTCAGGTAGTGGAATGGAATAAAGTACAATGGAATGAAATGATTATTTTTTCATTTTTTATGGAATAATTATTATTTCTTACAATTCATTTTTTTATTATTTTTTGAATGAATCAAATATAAAATAAATATTTTCAAAAAATGTCATATTATTCCATTTAGTTTAATAAACTCAATAAAATATTAGAGTCAAAAGGTTATACTAATTCGTGCCTTGCCCGAGCCTTTTTCACTAGTATATATATATATATATATTCTTGTTTCATTTCTTCTTTTGGTAAATTATGATAACCGTCCTCGAGGTTTAATAACATATATTAAATTTTACAAATTTGTTATAATTATATTGATTTTTGTTATAATTTTAATTCATTACTAATTAATTGGTGGGTATTTGAGATGATCTAAATAAATATATTTTTTTACTTTTTACGAAAATAAATACAAAAAAATAAATGTGATATAACTCAAAAAAGATAAAAAGATTAAAAAAAAATTACACTTTTGTAAAGGATGTCAAATAGTGCCTTAATATTATTTCATTAATAATAAATTAATTTTATGAATAAATAAATAAAAATGATGTCATATATTTTATATAAAAAATAATATATATTTTTTATTTTTCTTTTTATTTACACACTATCTGCATTAATTTCAGTGACTTTAGATTTAGTTAAAAGAGCTACCTATAATTATTTCAAATTTATGATATTTGTTATAATTTTTTTAAATCTCAAAAGGTGACAAGTGTAATTTATTTATTTATTTTGGTGGATGCAACGAGGGGGTGAATTTACTAAAATAAACATTTATAAAACATTTGAGACATTTTAAAAAAATTCCTCAATTTGACTCACGATGATGTGTTATAATAAGTGTCAACTTTTGATTAATCACCCACTCAACCATATCAAATTCAACTCCTTTGTCAAAGGTAAATTTTCAAATCTAAAATTGTGACCTCTAGCATTTCTCTTCATACTTTAAAAAAAATACTAAAAAAAAAAATGAAAGAAACAATATTTAAAGACTGACTGGCTAAAAAAGAGTACTGAGATTTTAATTAGTATTTCTGGAGAAATATTTTTGG